TGGTCTATAATTTTCTTTTCTTGTTGGGTCTTTTTCTGGTTTGGGGATCAAGGTGATGTTTGCTTCATAGAATGTGTTGGGTAGTATTCCTTCTTTTTCTATATTTTGGAAAAGGTTAAGTAATATAGGTACTAGTTCCTCTTTAAAGGTTTGGTAGAATTCTGACGTGAAACCATCTGGTCCCAGGCTTTTCTTTTTAGGGAGATTTTATATAGTTGATGCTATTTCAGAACTTGATATAGGTCTATTCAACATTTCCACATCATTCTGGCTAAGTCTTGGAAGGTGACGTGTTTCCAAGTATTTGTCAATTTCCTTCAGATTTTCATATCTCTGAGAATAAAAGTTTCTTGTAATAATTTTTAGGTAATTTTTGAATTTCTGAGGGGTCTGTTGTTATTTCATCTTTACCATTTCTCATTGATGAAATTAGAGATTTTATTCTTTTTTTCTTGGTTAGGTTGGCCAAAGGTTCATCTATTTTATTGATCTTTTCAAAACCAAACTTTTTGATTTATTGATCTGTTGTATAGCCCTTTTATTTTCAATTTCATTGAATTCTGCTCTAATTTTGGTTATTTCTTTTCTTCTGCCTTGTTTGGGATTGGAGTGTTCTTTTTCCAGTTGCTTAAGATGTCCTATTAGGTTGTTAACGTCCTCTCTTTCCATTTGCTTTAGGACGCTTGCAGTGCTGTAAATTTCCCTCTTAGGACTGCCTTTGCAGTATCCCAGAGGTTCTGGTAACTTGCATCTTCATTATCATTTTGTTCCAAAAATTTGGTAATTTCCTTCTTGATCTTATCTCTGACCCACCTGTCATTCAGCATAAGGTTATTTAGCTTCCATGTTTTTGTATGAGTCTGCAGATTCCTGTTGTTACTGAGTTCAACTTTTATTCCATGATGGTCTGAGAAGATGCATGGGATAATTTCTATACTTTTTAAATTTACTGAGGTTAGACTTGTGACCTAAGATGTGGTCTATTTTGGAGTATGTTCCGTGAGCTGATGAGAAAAATGTGTAATTTAGTTTTGTTAGGATGAAATGTTCTCTAGATGTCTGTGAAATCCAAATGCTAAATGGTTAAGTTTAAATCTAAAAT